CAGGACTGCTTTGGATTCTTCGTATAATTTGATACGAGCATCTTAAAGGTTAATACCTCCCCGGCTTGTAAAACAAGGCAGGGTCATCTGAGAATAGACAACTGAGGAAGTAGATTTAATGGCATCACCTACAGCATTATCCTTTTGTCTAATTTTTTTAACACTTAACCTGGACAAAAGAAGTTGTTTTGGGGGGGACTTATATTATTTTTTTAATGGAAATGGACACAAAAAGAAATGTGGATATTATTTTCGTTTGTTTCTTTTAGTAAAGATGCTAACAAGTCCCTAAGGACCTCATCTTCACTTACCCTCAATCTGGTCCGGTGTGAACTCCGTCTGTCACATAAAAACACACAGGAATGTACACGTAAGAACAGAAAACACACAGATGGAAACGTTAAGTCTATGTTAGTGGAACCAAGCAACACAAAATGTGATGGGATGATGAATTTATACAGGTATTCAGGTTTTCTCAGCTCGTTTACAAGCTCTAAAAAACAGATGTTGGATTTATTTTACCATGTTATGTCAACTGGTTCCACTTAATTGAGTTGAGTAAATTCAAAGCAACATACTCATGTTCTTTGGTTAGAAATTGGGTATACTGCTTTGGATTTACTCAACTCAGTTAAGTGGAACCAGTTGACATAAAATGGTTAAGTAAATCCAACATTTCATTTCTTAGAGTGCAAGCTCTCATGTAAAAGTGTTTTAGCCGGTGGTCCAGAGAGCAAGCGCTTAATTTCTTTTGAATTTTCGTAAAGCTTTTCAATCCAAAACGCGAGCACAAAATCCAAGTTTTAAGGGTAATTTACTAAGAGCTGGTGTCCAAATTTAAAAATGAAAAATTTAAATAATAATAATAATAATAAATAAAAAAATAATAAAAATTACTCCATCACCCGAAACAAAAGAAGGTCCAAAACCAGAATTCTGTACACACCATTTTGGAGAGTAGGAGCACAGAGGAGTGGAAAGAAAGGATATGAGAAGCTGAAGTCCCAAGACAGAGTGGTCCTGAGCCATGGTCAAAGCCCCCTTATTTATCCCTGGCATGTGATGTCACGTATGCTAATAGTGGAGGATCAAATGACACTGGAACATCTTTAACTTTCTTAGGGAAAGAAGAGCTGTGCTCCCCTGGAAGAGCATCGGGAGAAGGCCTTTAGAAGGGGATGGCGCTATTTTTGGAAGGCCAAGAACTATGTCAAGACTGACACAAGGCTTGATTTATATTTCAATAAAGAACAAAATACTGAAACTTCTTTTATCATTTCAAGCTATCTTTCTGGAAGACAGTTATGGAAGGAGAAGAAATGCAGCCAAGTCAGCAGCTCACTTCAGATGGGCTCCCAACTCCTTGAGCTCAATTACAAGGTGATATTTTTAAACAGCCAGACCGCTCCTCCTCTTATGGTTAAATGACAGCAGGGCGAAAAAGAACTGGAAAAGTTGACCTCTCTCTGGCAGGTATGGAGACATTGAACTTGGCAGCAGTTGGTTGTGTAACTGTACAAGACATTTATCTAACATGATCTTAATCGATCCATATGGGCCAAAAATAATCAAAAAGAGCTGTTAGCTATAAAACTCGATGTACAGTAGATGACCAGTTGAAGGAAGATGCAACTCTTGGGTTTTTGATGGATTTTTTTGTTATATTTCTTGAACACTTGACCAAGCTGTTGTTTTTGGCTATAGATAGTTTTAAAGACCTGAAACTTCCCAAACAGCAAACTTTGTCTGAACCAGTTGTGGCCCACAACAATGCCATAACACCTGGCCCAGATAATGCAAAGAATRAGGGCCCTTTGGGGACCCAGATGTAGTCCATGCACGGGTCAGCACCACATAAACCAAACCACAACCCTGGCCCACATCTGGTTGACAAACCACTTGCTATATTGGCAGTGCCAGCTTGACACCAGGTCTGGCCCACAACTGTCTTCTATGTGGAGTCTTTAGTGTCATGGTCAGGTACACAGACTGGACTCAAACTGAGTGGAAAAGCAGCCAGAATTCAAAGGGAAAAAAGACCAACAGATCAGATAATCAAATATTGTAGTAGTCTGGTAGTAGCCTGGCTCCTTGAAATGAGAAAAATACGAGTTTGAAAACCTTTACACAGCCCTGCATCTTGAAAAAATGTAGCATGTCTGACAGATTTCTAAGGTGAACTGTGTTTTTGCTTTTTGTATCAGAAATAAAACCAAACTTTCAGGACAGATGAAATCCATCTTGCCTTTCGTGTTTGTTCAAACTGATATCAAAAGGGACAAAATAATCTATTGTATGCTGGAAATGCCACACGCACTCTGGAAACTTTAGTATTTCCACTGTGGCTGAAAGTTCTAGGACACACAGGGACCTAAATCTCTAAGAGTATGCCTATTAGGAGATTATACAGAGATACCAAAGGCATCAAGATATAACCTGGCTGTAGTAAAAGTTGAGTTTGTAGCAGCGGCCTGACGTATTCTTAGACCTAACGTGCCTCAGCTTAACAATGTAAACAATGGCTGAAGCTAATGTCAGAAATAATGTCTTATTAAACTGATGGTTGTGATGATGGCTTCTAAATTCTCAGCACAGGGTGAGTAKTTCAGAAAGAAATGGAAAAATTACACATCTGAATACCGCAGCAGGTAATGGGTGAGGCGGCCCATCTTTGGAGAAACTTGTCCTTGTTCCACTGTGGCTTTCAGGATGGCAGCCATGTTTCGGACATAGCCTATGAGTTAGGTCCCCTCACCCATTACCCGCTGGGGTATTCAGACATGCCATTTTCCCTTTTCTTTCTGAAATGAAAGGGTGTCCTGTGACTTTTGAGTAATCCTGTATATTGTAAAAGCAGTTTTTCAAACTCATTAAAGACGTTAAACCTTTAATTATTTCTATTAATTTTTATTGTGAGCCATGTATGCCAAATAAGAACAGCAACCCCACACTTCTTCAAGTAAAACAATGTTTCTTTTTTAAAACACGGAACTTGTTTGGCTTGTGAATATGGTCAGAAAATTATATAAAACTTTGTTTTTACTTTGACTCTGCCTAGAACTGATGCACTAAAGCAGGGCTATTCAACTAAATTGCTCTGTAGGCCACAGTTAATGCAGAACAGCTGATGGGCCAAACATCCAGTAATTAAAGTCATTATGTAAATAAAGCAAGTATTAAAAAGATCTGTTACCTTTCAAATAGTTTATTTTGCTGCATTTAGTCATGATTACAACATACAGAACCCTATAAAAGTAGTGATAATTGAACAATATCAAAAACAAAAAACATTTTATGCCTCATATTTAACATGTTATTTTGACATCTTTGACTTGCCAAATGTTTAAACAAATTTTATTTTCACTTTTATTACTTTGTGTTTGAGCTGTTTTTTAAGTGCTGAAGTCAGTTGTCTTTGCTTTGTGGTGGTGTTCATTTGTTTTAATGTGTTTTTATGTTTAGTTGGATCCCAGGAAGAGTAGTCAACAATCACAATTTTTGTTTTTGCTAGTAGTTGAAAATATGTCAGAGAAAATAATAAAAATAAAAAGATCAACACTAAAAAAAATCTAAACACATTGTTTTGCAAAATCTGTTGAACCAAATATTGTGATTTATCAGATCATGGAAAAATAATCCTCCTGAGCTAGTACCTCAACAAATCTTTGCTCAATATCTGTAAAACCGAGTTATCGCCGTTTCTGTTTGCTAAGGTCAATTAGCTGGGGCGGCCATCTTGAACCAGACTGACTCCAAATATTAATCAGCTGTAGACAAACATTTGTTATTACTTTCATTGAAATCCATTCAGACGTTCATCAGATATTTTGCCAAATGCTGAAGAAATGCTCTGAAGTCTGAAGAAACAAGACACGTTGACAATTTACCAATTTATTAATTTAACAAATAGGTGCCATGGCAGCGTGTGGAAGAACCATACACAGCCATAACTGCCTGGCATCTCCTCCTCACGCTGCTCTCCAGCTTGGCCCCACACTGCTGCGCTTTGGCATCCTGTTCTTCAACCAGCATTTGTTTAAGGTCAGACAATGTGATTGTGATGGGTCACTGTGGAATGAATTAAACACCGAAGATGATCCCACAGGTGTTCAGTGGGTTTGAGGCCGGGACTGCAGGCTGGTCATTCTATCCTCTGGAGGTGGTCTCTGATAAACCCCGCTCCAACCGTTGACATCTTGGATGATAGCGTGCTGTTGCAGACTGTGGTCATTTATATCCTTTATTTCTGTTTTGTTCAAATGTTTCCATGACCGTACGATACGTTAAATCTCAGTGTCGCCCCTGTACTACCAACACGTTTATGTTGTGACACCATGCACTTTATTAGATAATTCCCTGACAGCAAGACAAGTCGGTGTGTTCATGCTGGTTTAAGTCGAACTTGTCATCAGCTGTGAAAAGAAAAAAGGGTCTGGCTGAACACCGGAAGCTTAGAGGATTTTTTTGCCTCGGAGCGAATGAGCCAAAGCAACAGTCGTGTCCTGGAGGCCACTCCCCTGGACAGATGAGCTCTATTTTTACTTCTACTCCTGTCGTTGTGGGTTTCTCCTGCACCAGGCGGGGCTGGAGAGAAAAATTCAACACTCCTGTTTCTCAAGGGCCTCTGGTGCAGAAACCCTCCTCCCGCTTCGGCTCCTCAAGGTCTCAGCTGGTGTCAGGTCATAAAAAAAAGGGAGTCAGATATCATGGCACTTCATGAGCCTTATTTAGAGGAGAAACTTCACTTTTTAAGCCAAATACTAAAATGGTTTTAAGACAGCTGTGAATATTTTAATGTTTTAAACCTAAACCCGTGTAGATGATGTAATGTTTCTATATGATGTGATGTGATCACCACAGACGTGGATGTTAAATATGCCTCCTGGGTGTCAAGTTTAAGGTTGTTCATTGAAACAATTACTGTTGAGTGCTCTCTGCTGCCCCCCAGTGGTTTTTGTTTGCAACTGTACAAACATCAACTTGAAGCTCCAGGACAAATCAACAACTTTAACTTCTTTATTGCTCAGGCAATGCAAAACACAGGCAACCAGTTTCTGTTTGACTGACTGTGACACTTTTTTTAAAGACATAAATATACAAAAAAATACATTTTACGTAATCAGACTGTGAAGTTAACCCTAAATACGGCACAAAAACGAAGTAAAAAGCGAGAAGATTTGATGGAATTAGGTAAAAATGCTGTCATCGATGGCATCTGGAGTCAAAGTCCTGACGGGATTTTAATCCAGAGGCAAAGAGCCGTCTTGTTTAGAGTTTTTTGCGATGTGGGTGGATGGATGGAGGACTACCTGCAGACATGCTCTACACCTCAAATGCAGGAAACTTTGCTCTCAGYGGCTGCAGAAGGTCTGCCAGGAAGTAGATGGTGCCAGCCATGCCTGCAAACAAGAAACATCATCATTGTAAGGACATCAGCTC